AGCTTCTCTGGGCAACCTGTCCCAGTGCTCCCCACCCTCTCTGGGAAGAATTCCTCCCTGATGTCCCATCTCAATCTCCCTCTTTATGTTTAAACCCATTACCCCTTGTCCTGTCACTAAAGGCCAGTTAACGTGCCGGTGCACGCTCCAGCCCGGCTCACACACACTCTGCCCCCACCCCCAGACCCCGCACATGGGATGCTCTCCGTCTGGAGCCTGATTTATCAGGGAGGTTGTCCTCCGACGGGCACATCCATTACTTTATGCTCTCAGCTCGGTACTGGGAGGAGTTCTCCTTCGTCTGCAACAAAATCATCCCAGAGTGGAGGAATCATGAACCAATTAACCCTGGAAAGTTATGTTGGCCCAGTTTTTTGAAGTCTGCTTTGATTTCCTGCCTGCTGTGGCTGTTAATCTGTATTTAATGCAGCTTTCTGCATTTTTATCAGGGCTGTAAGTTATTGCACCTTGCTACCTCCACAGAGGAGGTAATTAATCTAAACGAGGGCCCCTGGGAGCACAGCCGTAATCTGCAATTTCCCACTGACTCTAATGGAGGGAACATCCCGGAGAGGTCCAGCAGCCCTTGGAAATACACCTCGGCTGAGAGCATTTCGGGGATGTTACAAACACGAACGAGCCTGTGGGCTCGGCCCTGGTGACGGCAGCCCGGGGTCGTGTCCGGCTGCCCGTGCAGAGGACGAGGTGGTACGGCAGCGGGTACCACAGCTTGGAGGGGTCGAGGAGGATGGGGGTGGGTGACCGGGAGGGGTGGAAGGGAAAACCTGGTAAAATGCTGAAACGGCTCCTGGGAGGCTCTGAAGTAGGTGGCGGCATTTTCCATCCCTCTCCATAATTTTGCTGTTTTCTTTAAACACCAACAGTTTCACATGTTGAATATCTATGTAGGAAATCCCACCTCCAATGCCTCTCAAGTGCCAGTTGTTTTACTACTTATTAAAAACTGAAATTTATCAGCTTAATAGAAAGGTAACAGAGTTTTTCCCCCCTCCTGGGTACACAGTCGCCTCCTGAAATACAAATTCCCTCCAAGGCTGCTGGCGTGCTCCCCCATTGCAGTCCCCCATTCCTGTAGGCAATGCTTAGCATTCCCAAGACATTCTCTTAAGGTCAATAAGAATTAACTGTAAATTTAATTAAAGTTTCCAATGCTTGCGTGAAAGTAGAGCATTTGCCTGGTCTGCTCTTTGCCAGTCTAAGCCAGATCTGGAGGGAGACAGGGGTTATCAATAATTAACTGGGGTAATTTAGGGGAAAGTGTTAGGGAGTTAATGAAAATGTGAAATAGTATAATTATCTTGCAAGTAGCTGGGAGTGATTGAGCTGCTGAGGAAGAGGAGGCGTTGGACAGTTTACTGTTCAGAGGCTGCCCATCCCGACGTGGTTCTGGGATGACGCTGGGATCAGCCTCTCTGCCACCACCCTGACCCCAGTAGCTGGTGGCTCTGCATGAACTGAGGGTGGGTTGAGGGTTTAAAACCAAGTCAGCAGCATCCAGCCCATGGAGGGTCATGTGCCTTTGGTTCCCAGAATCGTGGAATCACTTGTCACTTGGGAGAAGAGACCGACCCCCCCTCTCTGCACCCACCTTTCAGGGAGTTGGAGGGAGCGATAAGGTCTCCCTGAGCCTCCTCTTCTCCAGGCTGAACACCTCCAGCTCCCTCAGCTGCTCCTCATGGGAATTGTGCTCCAGACCCCTCCCCAGCTCCATTCCCTTCTCCGGACATGTTCCAGCCCCTCAGTGTCTTTCCTACAGTGAGAGGCCCCCAACTAAACACATGCTTCGAGGTGCAGGCTCATCAGCACAGAGGTGAACTCAGCACCAAGCGCAAGGTGAACTTCCCTTGAAAGTACTGTTCAAAACTTTCATACAAGCGTCCAGCCACACGCCGGCTCATATTCAGCCGCTGTTGACCAACACCCCCAGGTCCTTTTCCTTTTTCCTGTGGGAAACAAAGCTGTGGATGTGTTGGTGACTGTCCGAGGGTCCGTGTATTTGCTGGCTTGCAGTTTATGATTCTGATGGACCAGTCCTGGGGAGTTTTGTGTGGAGTGTCACTGCCATGTTGCTGTCCCCTGTGGGAGAAGTATGTGGCCATGCTGGCATGGGGGGGTCTCTGCACCCCATCACAGCTCACAGGGATGGGAGCCTCTTGCCGCTGCTCCAGCAGTACCTGTGCAAACAGAGTTGGGAATCCCTGCTCCAGCATGGGCTTTTATTAAAAATGCAATTTTAATTAAATTTTAATTAAGCCCAGGATGGTGTGGTTGGCTTTAATTAAAGTTGGTGCCGTTCTATGTGCTGAGAAGCCCTTGGTCAGCAGGATGAGTGTGGGGACGGTGCTGGTACTGTTGCATGTGGGTCTCTTTGGCTGCCTGTGGTAAGTGGGGTCCTGGGGGTCTCCTGCCCCACAGATGCCTTAGGGGCGCACAGGCTGAGGAACGCAGTGTTTCGGGTTAACGTGGGCTGCCCGGGCTCGTGGATCAGGTGGTGTGCTAACAGCCGTGCTCGGAGACGTGCCGTTGGTTTTTGCTTGGCTCCCGGCAAGCACGGCAGGGAGGGGATGGTGTGTGGGGCTGTCAGGGCCTGATCCTGGTTTAGGATTGTGCTTCCCAATGGGAATCCTGGCAGTCAGCCCTTCTGGTGAGCACGGTTATTTGGGGCTGGGGGGAAAGGTGCTGAAAAGTGGGAAACGATTGATAGCTGCCCCAGGATGCATGCAGCCCCGAAGGGCATCTGTCTACCTGGGCACTGCTGGTGCCAAACGGAGGGGTCGGGCTGCTGGGTGGTGATGCTGGGATGAGAAATGGCTCTGAAAACACTGGCACTGTCCAGAAAAAAAGAAAAAGAGGGGGTGGTGGTGATGATGGAAAAGCAACAAGTGGCTTTTGCCTCTTGGTTGGGGAAGGGAGTTGTGCAAGGCCGAGCACTGCTCACAAATGCTTTTAATAAAGTGTTCTTTCCTGCGTCCAGGGGAAAAAAAATCCCAAAACCTCAAGCCTTTTCCCATTACATAAGGAACAGATGCTGCTGGGCAGAGCCCTGGCTTCCGCACAGCACAGCCCCTCCCGCGGTGGGGACCCAGCTCCCCTGCTAGACACAACCTTCCGGTGCCACTGCCCTGAGCGGCAGGATGGGGAACCCTGGAACACCCAATCCTGCCCCAAAGTGCTACTCCCAAGAGCTGGCCCTGCTGCAGGACCCAGCTGCAGCCTGGTGGGAAGCTCCGTCATCCTCCTGCTCTGCCAGCGTTCCCGCAGGGATCCCCCAGGAAGGGTTTTGGAGCTCTCCCTGCCCTTGCATGGGTTGGCTTGGCCTTGGATAGGTGTTAAAAACCCTGACCCTGATAAAAACCCGTGCCCCTGCCTGGGTGGGGGGGAGAGGCATATGGAGCAGGTGGGGGAAGCTCCTCTCCTTCCCAGCAAGCCCCAGGGGACAGGGGAGAGCAGCCCCAGGGGTGCAGGAGGGACTCTGGGGGAACCTCGAGTTTTAAAACTAGGATTATTCCAAGTTCAGGCAAAATGGAAAGTCCTTGTAGGAAAGAGTCTGTCCAGTCCCAGCTCTCTCCTTTTGTTCATGTGAAGAGACTCACTTGGACTTGATGTTTTTGCTTTATTTTATCCCCTATCACAGTTAATATTTGGCTATTGGTACTTTTTCCAAGAGAATTCCTGATTCCTGGTGCTCGTCCTGGGATGCCTCTGGGTGTGGAGCAGCTCAGGTTGGATCCCCATGTGTTTGCTGATCCATACAAGCAATTCTGTGTCAGGAGGGTGGATGTTTGCTGGCTGGATGAATGTAGGCTTCTACACAGCAGCTCCTACACAAGCCATGCCATTGCTCAGTGCCTCAGTTTCCCCATTGCAAACCAGCGCGTGCCTGCTGGGTTCAGTGCTCTGCCATCTGCTAAGAAAATTCCTAGGTGGGATCAAGGGACATACTTCGTCTGTATTATGGATTAATTGTATTTCTGTGTGCACGCAGTTTTTATTTGAGAACTGCTGAAGTGGTTTGGGCAGTTCTCAAAGTATTAAACAAACCTCTCACAGCCTCGCATCCCCTCCCTGTGGGAAAGCCGCCTCCTAATCAGGATGGGCCCAGTGCAAGGACAGAGGCCCGTGGAGAGCCGGGCTGAGCTCCTGGCACTGGAGCAGAACGCTGCTGTGCTCCAGGCAGGATGAGTTTCCAGCCCAGGGCTCTCAGCAAGAGACTCCTCTGCAGCTGGGGAGGGGGAGCGTGCGTGCCACCCCCGAGCATGAGGGGGGGAATGGGGATGATGGGACTGTGCTCACAGGGACCCGTGAGCTGTCTCCCAGCTGGCCCCATGGTCTTGGCTCAGGGGGTCTCCACTGTTGGGGGAAACCAAGTCCCCTCTTCACCCGGGTGGCCAGAGAGGACATGTTCACCCCCAAGAAGAAGGGGTGAACATGTGAGGGGCTCTGGGGCAGGTGCCTGTTTTGGTGGGAGGGCGGACCTAGTCTGCAGCCCCTGGCTCCCCTCATGGGGTGACATGCCTGGGTAATTTCTCCAGCAATTAATGCCTCATTAAAGTGCAGGAGGGAGCAATCAGGGCAGTGAATTTTACACAGCACAATGCCTGGCCCGGAGAGGGTTTCTGCCTTTTTTTTAAAGGAAACAATCTTTTTCTGGCCTTAACCTCTTGCTGTCTGGAGGGGGCCTTGGTGGGCATCTCCATCCCCAGCCACTGCTTGGGTTCAGACCCCGTGGTTGCAGACCCCTGTGGTGAGATTCTCCGCTTTGCAACCCTCCTCCGGGATGTGTAACCTGTCTGGAGGCTGGGATGGAAACCAACCCCATCCCAAAATGTTGAGATGCCAGTTGCCACCACTGAAACCCACTGGTCTGGAGGAGGAGGGGGCAGGAAGGATTTCCAGGGCTGGGAAGGGGGTTGTGGGGGACCGACAGCCTACAAATGCCCTCTGGACAGTGCCCTGACTGTGTCCCTTTCTCTCCCCAGGAGCCTCATGCCACGGACACTGGAGGGGCAGATCACGATGGAGAAGACCCCCAGCTACTTCGTTACCAAGGAGGCTCCCCAGCGCATCTACAACATGTCCCGGGACACGAAGCTGATTGTTGTGGTGCGCAACCCCGTCACCCGCGCCATCTAGACCCTCTCCAAAAACCCTGCCATCCCCAGCTTCCAGGCCCTGGCCTTCAAAAACGTCAGCACGGGACTGGTCGACACGAGCTGGAGCGCAGTGAGGATCGGGATCTATGCCAAGCACCTGGACAACTGGCTGCAGTACTTCCCCCTCTCCAAATTCCTCTTCGTCAGTGGGGAGAGGCTCGTCAGCGATCCGGCTGGGGAGATGGGCCGGGTCCAGGACTTTCTGGGTCTCAAGAGGGTGGTGACGGACAAACATTTCTATTTTAATGAGACCAAGGGCTTTCCCTGCCTGAAGAAGCCGGAGGGCAGCAGCAAGCCCCGCTGCCTGGGGAAATCCAAGGGGCGGCCGCACCCCAAAATCGACGGGCAGGTGGTCCAGCGCCTGCGGGAGTTTTACAGACCCTTCAACATGAAGTTTTATCAGATGACAGGGCAGGATTTTGGGTGGGACTGAGCCATCCACAGGGCATGGTGCTGTGCTGGGACCTGGGTTCCCAGCTGTGTGTGGAGCCGGGACTGTGGCCAG